TAATCTCATGAATTAATTCCTAAATTTCAATCCTGAGCTTACTAGAAGTTTTACTACATAGACAGTCCTCACAATATTAGAAATTAGGAATTTTCCTGCAACATAACTGCCATGTATATCAGCTCCCCAGGGAAAAAACTGAGGCTCAAAAAAGGGGTCTAGGACATAGTCAAGCATTGTACCCTTCATGTATAGGGATTGACCTGCTGTGTTAACTTCACATTGCTTTCCTTGTAAATCTCACACTACATATTTATTGCATAAAAATTGCAAGAAAAAAATACCAAAAAATTTAAATAACACTAGGCAGCTAGAGAAAGTAATTAGCAATGAAATGGGAAATGTCCCCCTAGACATAAGGGAAACAGTCCTAGGACCTCCAGTAAATTTAGATCTTAGGCTTATGGTGGTGGTACACGCCTTTAATCCCAGCACTAGGGAGGCAGAGGCAGGCAGATCTCTGTGAATATGAGACCAGCCTGGTCTCCAGAGCGAGTGCCAGGATAGGCTGCAAAGCCACAGAGAAACCCTCTCTCCAAAAACAAAACAAAACAAAAAAGTAACATTAGGAAGCTACACTAAGTAATTAGCAATGAAATGAGAAATAGCCCCAAGACAGAAGGGAAACAGTCCTAGAACTTCCACTAAATTAAGACTTCCCTGTGGCTCAATGTAGAAAACAAGACACACACCAAAAACACTTTCCAAAGTACTCAGAGCTGGGCAAAACTCAGGGAGCCATCTTCTGTGGTTCTTTGGTTCTTTGGTTCTCTGGTGGCGTTTTTTCAGACGGGAAGGGCGGGAGAGGAGCGCTCACAGGATCATTCCTGGAGCTCTACCGCCATCGTGCGGACAGAGTTTCAAAAAACTCACAGCACCACTGAGCCTCCTTCCCATGATTCTTAGCCATGGCGCAAGATGGCGATTGCTGATGGCGATGGCAGACAGCGATTCCCGAAACTAGGACTGTGGGTGCCTAGGTGGCCTTCTTTAACTTCTCCGAAGGCCCCAAAAGAAATGCAGAATACAGTTTTCTCCCCACAACCTGGCCGTGAGGAGCCTCCTGTCCTAGGACACCAGGGCAGGCTGCAAAGTGAGCAGTGCAAAGCCGCCCCGCTACTTCCTGTTTCTGGACAGCAGCACAGCTGTGCCTTGTAATTGGGCCCTCAGTCAACAGCATCTACAGTAAGACTTTAAAGGGGCTCATTATTCCAGTGTAAATGCAGAAAGATGTAGTAGAGAACGGTAGGACGCCAAGCTCGGCCACATAGAAACGCCCCTGACTCTCACCTCCAAAAAGGCTGCAAGCAGCCCTGGGGAAGCGGCTTCTGAATGTGCAAGGTATGTCTGAAGGCTTTTCCGCACGATGGCAGTGTTGACCCACTGCAATGAAGACACCAGTCACACACCTGCCTGCTCCCGCCTTTCCAGTCTGAAAAAAACAGCACAGAGGCAGAGTCCAACAACTGTGGCAGCCAGGCCTTCTTCCAGCACAGGGAGCAAAACTCATTTCCTCAGTGTTTAGCCTCCATTTCGATTTCATCTGGATGCCACAACTAGTGGGTCTGTTCCTTCATAGGAATCCACCATCGAAACACAGAAGACCAAAGTCCAAGGAATGCAACAAGGAAACTACATGGGAATTATGATCTAAGCAACAGGGAGAGAGGAAGAAGGGGGAGACTTGAGGCACCCACCTCCCTCAGGCATCCTCATTTTTGAAGAAGTCACTGACCAGCTGATGATGGAGCCTTGAGTTTCTTCTTCTCCCAGCAGTGCTCCACTCCAGGCCTTACTCCTGACATAGGATTGTCTTGTGCTCTGAGCTTACATCTTAGGTTCCACCTCTAGGTAGAATAAGACAATGCTGACAATCAATCACATCTAAAAGCCAGGAAACTCCTAAAAATTGGTATAGGTTCTGAGCCCAAGGCTTTGGTTGGCCTCAAGGAACCTATTCCTCATACTGGGTTGCCTTGCCCAGCCTTAATACACAGGGAAGAGCATACACTACTACAACTTGGTATGCCATGGTTGGTGTCACCTACTGAGGAGAAACAGAGGAAGAGCAGAGTGAGGACAGGGGTGAGGGGGAAGCAAGGAGGGATGGGAGAAGAAGGAGTAGAAACTGTGGTTAGGATGTACAATAAATGAACAAATAGATCATACTCCATAAAAAAACAAAATCAGAATCCATAACATGCAAATAGTAAGACAAAAACTCCAAAGGAAAGGTCTACCCATGAGTATGCCTTACACACTCAGTGGACTCTATTAGAGAAAAGGAAATTTCCTTTTCATGTGGGTAGAAAATGGAGATGGCATCTTGGTTAGGGAAGTGGTTTCAGGTCCACTCTACAATCTCAGTGCTGGGTTCAGGGCATGGTGGGCAGTCCTTGGTGTCACCCAGGCCCTCTGGCTCTTAGAATCCTGCCTCCTCTTCTGCATACTTCCCTTAGCCCTGTGGGGAGGGATTTGATGGAGACTGCCGCTTTCTGATCTGGTGTGCTACAAGTCTCTGTGCACACTGTCCAGTTGTAGGTCTGTGCATTAGTTGCCATCAACTGGAAGAGGAAGCTCCCGAAGCATTTTTTTTTTTTAAACTTCGTTCTGTGAATTTCCCGGCTTATGTGTGTGTGCACACATACCCACCAGTTGGAATTATAGAAGTATATACTCAATGCAACATGGAATTTGTAGTACAGATGAGTGAATGCAGGCTTCAAAAAGGCCAGTTATCCTCTGAGAAATTATAGAGTCTTATGTCAAAGGCAATTCCAAGTAACAGATGCACTATTTTATTAATCAGTGAATTTTTGTCAGCCTGCAGAATACACACATGCAAAAAAAAAAAATTCTGAAAAAAGGAATAAACAGCCAGTGGGTAGTGGCACAGGCCATTAATCCCAGCACTACAGAGGCAGAGGCAGTAGGATGTCTGTGACTTCAAGGATTTATAGAAGGAGTATCTCTGAGAGACATGTACATATATAATATATATATGCCATAAAATTGTTTCAACACAATACTCGTATCATGATTAATCTCAAGAATTAATTCCTAAATTTCCATCCTGAGCTTAAGAAGATTTACTACATGGACAGTCCTCACAATATTAGAAATTTGGAATTTTCCAGGCACATAACTGCCATATGTATCACCTCCCCAGGGAAAAACCTGAGGCTCAAAACCCAGGGCCTAGACATGTAGAAAAGCATTGTACCCTTCATTTAAAGCGACTGACCTGCAGTGTTAACTTCACATTGCCTTGCTTCTAAATCTCACACTACATATTTATTGCATAAAAATTGCAAGAAAAAAAAATACCAAAAAATTTAAATAAAAATACCAGGCAGCTAGAGAAAATAATTAGCAATGAAATGGGAAATATCCCCCATGACATCAGGGACACAGTCCTAGGAACTCCACCCAATTTAGATCTTAGGCTGATGGTGGTGGTGCACGCCTTTAATCCCAGCACAGGGGAGGCAGAGGCAGGCAGATCTCTGTGAGTTCGAGACCACCGTGGTCTGCAAGAGCTAGTTCCAGGACAGCCTCCAAATTCACAGAGAAATCCTGTCTCGAAAAACCAAAAAAAAGTACATTTCTACGTTGCTCAATGTAGAAAACAAGACACACACCAAAAACACTTTCCAAAGTACTCAGAGCTGGGCAAACCTCAGGGAGCCATCTTCTGTGGTTCTTTGGTTCTTTGGTTGTCTGGTGGCGTTTTTTCAGACGGGAAGGGCGGGAGAGGAGCGCTCACAGGATCATTCCTGGAGCTCTACCGCCATCGTGCGGACAGAGTTTCAAAAAACTCACAGCACCACTGAGCCTCCTTCCCATGATTCTTAGCCATGGCGCAAGATGGCGATTGCTGACGGCGATTGCCCACAACTCCAATAACTCTGGGTGCCGACTTCAGTTTCCCTGACTTCTCCTCAGTCTCCAACAGGAATGTGGACAGAAAGAGCTTTCTCACTGGAACCTGGAGAATTAGGCGCCTTCTGCCCTAGGACAGGAGCTAGTAGATTCATACAGCAAGCTGAGCATTGCAAAGTCCCACCCCTCCACTTCCTGTTCGTGAACCTCAGCACAGCTGGTCTCTTTGTCAACAGGGCCTAATGTAAGACTCTAAAATGTCCTGTGATTCCAATCTGCCTACAGGAGAAAGAAAAAACTGTCAAGTAAGCTTGTCCATTCGAGAATACCTCTGACCCTCACTGTCAAAAGTGGTTATAAACAGTGTGTGCACAGGGGAGGTTATCTATGCACCATTTTCCGCAAAATGGCAGTGTTGTCCCACATCATAGTAGGGACTAGTCATGTCTCTTTGCTCCCGCCTTTCGAGTCTGAAAAAAACTCCAATACAGAGGCAGTCCAGGAACTGAGTGGGCCTTGCTTTCGTTGTTCCCTGTTAAGAAGCATGTGGTACTCTTAGAATTTAGCTTCTTGGTTTCATTTTATATCAATGTCACATCTAATGGATCTAGACCTGTGTTGGAACTCCAGTACCAAATGACAAAACAAAATAATTCAATGAATAGATAAATAAGTATGTATAAAAAAACAAAGCAAGCAAGGAAAGAGAAAGGAAAGTGCCATGTGAGGCAATCACCTCCCTCCCTTCCTCTCTCATGTTCTCTTTTGAAGAAGGGAGTGTCCTGTCAAGGGTCAAGTCTTGGGCTGCAGCAGCAGCAGTCTCCCTCCAGGGCTTTCCCAGGGTGGCTGATGGTCTTTTTGTCTTGGGTGGCAGAACTCAGCCTTCAGTTCTAGGTAGGAAAAGAAAATGCTATGTCCTCTGGTCTTGAAGGAAAGCAAAGCTAACTCTTATCTAGGTTTACACTGCAACCTCCCTGGGTATCATGTAACAAAGGTAATCTAGAAAATAGGCCTTGTGTGTCCAGTGGGAGGCTGACTTTAGTGGCAGTGCAAAAAGGGTCCAGATACCTGTCAACACTGAATGCTAAACAAATCCATACTTGGAGAAACATACATTGAAATGCCTATGATTTCCAATTGGATGGATCACTGATTTTTTTTCCCAGGGTTTTAGCACATCAGACTGGAGCACAGGCACAGACATTTTCCCACACTAGTGGCCTATTACTGCTTTGTACAGCTTAACTGTATACACATTGTTGTTTTTATGCTGTGTTGTTGATCATCCTTTCAGTCTTATACTTTCTCTTAGCAAGAAAGAAATGGACCTTTTAGAGCAGCTAGACCTACATAATGTGTTCCAGTGTGGCTTGGGCTAGATTCTGAGATTCTGTTTCAAAACAATTGATCCTGTCGTATATGAGTACATTTCTGAACTTGCAATAAATAATAAGAGTTAAATGACTTGTCTACATGCCCTTAAGTATATAACATACTTCTTTGATGAACACCACTTTGATACTGTTATGAAATGCACATGCTGTCTATTGGTTATTTTAAGATCATTTTGGATCCTTGGTTCTTCAAAATTTCTTATGAATTTTAGTATCAGGCATTCCATTACGGTACAACAATCATTAGGACAATAATGAGGCCTCCACCCGAACTGCAGATGTCTTCAAATAATATGGCCAACTTAACTATATTTACCTTTCTACCCCATGAACACAGAATGTCTCTCTTAGTTGTATAGGTCACCTTGGAACTTTTGGCAATATTTGTCATTTTCAATGCACTCACTACCCTCTCATGTCTTTAGTTAAGTATTACCCTAAGTAGATTATTCACATGGATGTTGTATTAAAGAAAAAACTTTATTTTGTTCTTTCTCCTCTCTTTCCTTCTTTGGACAGGCTGACACTATGTGTCCAAGGCTAGTCCCAAACTCACAGTCCTCCAGTAATTCCTAAACTCCTTGGTCCTCATCTTTGTTGTGCACGTAATACAACTAGAAGGC